TATGGCCACTCGACTACAATCCTCTGAACCATTATTGTCTGGCTATAGTCCTCAGCCCATAATCACTTAATTATGATTTTTTGACCAACATTTCCCAACTATAAGCTTATGAAAATTATTTCCCAACACATATTATTGCGACCTTATTCGCCCAATGATTGCAATCCTTAGATCTTTGTAACTAAACTATGGTCCTAATCTTTGTCTCTCAACTATAATCTTTTGACCACCATCATCAAATTATGATCCTCAGGCCGCCATCATCTGACTACGAACTTTCAACCACTATCACCCTAATCCTTTAATCTTCATTGCTCGTTGACTATAGTCCTTTAACCACAATAGCTTGATAAAAATTAAAAATACAACAAAATCAAAATAAATAAAAAAACAAATAAATCAATGTCATTTTATTTTCATCTCGTCAAAACATGTATATTTCATTTTCAAAAGAATCATTTATATTAGTCATGAATACATCTTTTAAATCATTCTATCTTCATGCATTTTTAATGACTTGAAATATATAAGTATTAAAGAAAAAAACTTAAACTAGAACTGGATTTGTCTAGCCTCACCCCATTAGGTTCTTACCCTTTCCTAAAATCATGTAAAACCATATAATGAGCGGAAGCCAAATAGGTCACCCGAACCTAACTATGTACAATGCATAGAAAGTAGAAATATATGCTTGTAATCATTCAAGTCATTTAAGTACTGTATGCTTATGTTTTATAATTCATATAAATCAGGCGCATCATAAACAATAATAATCTAGTTACACCCTTCTACTACATACTGCTATTTTGGATGTCCTATTCTTATAATTGGCAAGGAAAAATTATGACAAATTCCACATTAGAGTTGATAATAAGACTTTAAGTGAATTAGTGCATTTCATAAATAACTATTACTTATGTTTGAAATTGAATAAAATTTAAAATTTTGGTATATACATAAATAAGTTTGAACATTGTTTTGAAAATATATTTATGTATGTAAATGTAATTTTTATAACTCAGTAAGTATATTGTTATGAGTTAAAGTACTTTTTTTAATTATGATTTAATTATTTATTTGATAATTTATTCTATAGTCTTATGTATTTTAAAATTTTAATATATTACTTGCAAGTATATATATGCCCAAATATCAAACAAATAATTAAATATATAAATTAAAATTATTTTTAAATAAATGTTTTAATTAAAATTAATAGTATAAATCCATTACTAAATATGAAAATTTTAATAAAAAAACTATTGGAAGCAAATAAATGTAGAGTTTTTGCTTCAAAACAATATGTATAAGCCTTCTTATGCTAAACATAGAATTTTTAATATAATTTTGTTGTTTGACATAAATTATAAAGTAAAATTAAAGTACCCCATAGGAGTAACCAAGTTGTTTAATTAATTCAAAAAACTTCTTTAGTCATAAAATCATAAAAATGTTCTTTATATATTATAAATTTTCTTAATATTGTGCATCAAATATTTTACTTTTAATTTATTTAAGATGTATTTATGATCATTTACATTAAATTTCTTTTATGATAAATAAAATATTAAAAATAAATTAATTAATCAAATTTTAATTTATGTTTAATATTTATCTATTTTAATTTATTTAATTTAGTCTAGATTTAAAAATTTATAAAATTAAACAAATTTTTATTTAAATAGTACTCTCATTGTCAGGTCCCAAGTCTTGGATGAGAAAAGTGGAGGGTTACGTAAGTAGTTGATAGCCAGCATAAAACTTGTCGAACAATCATGCTATGACGTTCCTTAGAAGCGCTGTATGGACTAAATACAATGAGAAGTGTACAAGGGCTGCTGCATTGGCTCTCGGGTGTAATGTTAAATAGGCAAGGGTTCCTATATCATGAACAAATGTGAGAAAAAAATTTAGTCTATGAAACTAAAATTTGAATTGGATCTTGAAATGTAGGTTATCTTGCAGGCAAATTAATGGAATTAATTTATATTATGATTCATATGAAGATATATATTTTATGCATTTAGAAAACTAAATGGATTGGAGAGAATGCTAAGGAGACTGATAATTTAGAATTTAAACTTTTGTACTCTAATAGAAGTCATACTAGAAACTGTATATGCGTGATTATAAATAAGAGGTTGAAGGATAATGTTATAAAAATTTATAGAATTGGAGATAGAATTATTAATTTGAAGATTATTATTGATGCTAAAATTATTAATATTATTAGTGTTTATGCTTCTAATGTAGATTTGGATATGTGTTTAAAATTAAAATTTTGAAATAACTTAGAAGAATTAATTCAAAAGATTCATCTTGAAGAAAGAGTTTTTATTAGAGGGGATTTAAATGAACATTTTGGTAGAGAGGTAGAGGATTTTAAAAGTATTCATGATGGCTATGAGTTTGGAGTGACTAATGAAGGTTGTAAGACTATATTAGATTTTTCTGTAGTTTATGATTTTGTAATTGCTAATATCTTATTTAATAAAAGAGATGAACATCTCAGATTTATAAGAATGAATATAATAAAACTTAGATTGATTATTTTATTATAAGAAAAATAGATTGTTTAGATTGCAAAGATTATAAAGTTATTCCAAGTAAAAGTTTATGTACCCAACATGCTTATTGATTTTGAATTTTAAGATGAAAGTGTATAATATAAAAAAATTAGTAGAATATTATTCTAAGATTAGTTGCATGGGAGCTTTTAAAAAATACTAACAAAATTATTTTTGAGAGAAAATTTTGAGGTCTTAAGATTTTGTCTGTGCATAAGAAAACGAATGTTATGTGGGATAAGTAGCTAGTAATATTAAGTATGTGATAAAGGATGTGCTTGAAGTTTCAAAAGAAAAAGCTTTTCATAATAAAAATAATTGGTAAGGGAATCCAAATGTGTTATTTAAGATTAAAAATAAGAATCTTTGTTTTTTATTTATTTAGATATATAAAATCTTAAAATTGGGAAAGATATAAATTTGCCCATAAGGAGTCTATAAAAGTAATTTGTGCTGCTAAAACTTTAGCTTTTAATGATTTATATAATAGATTAGATATTAAAGATGGAGAAAGGTATATGTATAAGTTAGCCAAACAAAGAGATAGGAGTAGTAAGGGTTTAGTTCAAGTGAAGAGCATTAAGGATGAAGATTAAAAAGTGTATTTTTAAAAGAGGATATTCAACAAAGGTGGATGAGATATTTTGCTAAGCTTTTCAATGAAGATTCTGAGAATACGATTGACTTTAGTGACCGTAGCACTCTAAATGAAAATATAAATTTTTATTTTTATCAGTGTATTAATAAAATTGAAGTTAGAAAGGCTTTAAAGAAAATAAAGTGTGGAAAAACTAGTAGACGTGATGATATTCCAACAGAGGTGTGGAAATACATAGGAGATGAAGAAATTTATTGGCTTACTAAATTTTTTTAATATTATTTGGAAGACTAAAAAGATGTCAGATGAGTGGAGAATGAGTGTGTTGAATCCTATTTTTAAGAATAAAGGTGATGCACAAAATTTTGCAAATTTTAGAGGAATTAAGTTGATGTGTCATACTTTAAAACTTCGAAAGAGAGTTATGGAGCATAGGTTACGACTTGATACTAATAATTCTCAAAATCAAATTGGGTTCATGCAGTGTAGGTTTACTACGTAAGCTATTCATTTATTGAGAGGGTTGATGGAGAAGTTTAGAGAGACTAAGGAGGATCTATATATGATATTTATTAATTTAGAGAAAGCATATGATAAAGTTCCAAGAGAAGTGATATGGAGAGTTCTAGAAAAGAAAGGGGTTAATGCTTATATTCAAGCCATTGGAGATATGTATGCTGGAGCTATTACTTGTGTTCAAATACTAGGTTATTTGATAAAGTATTTTCCTATTTTTGTTGGATTACATCAAGGATTAACCTTAAGCCATTATCTTTTTGGCTTTAGTCATGGATGTTCTCACTAGACATTTGCAAGAGAATGTACCTTGGTGTATACTTTTTTGTCGATGATATTCTTCTTGTTGATAAGACTAGAAAGGAAGTTGAAGGTCAACTCGAATTATAGAGGTCAACCTTAGACTCTAAAAATTGTTGTTTGAGTAGATCTAAAATCGAATACATGGACTATAATTTTAGTAGTAATAACTCTAGTGGGGGCGTTTGTGACTTTAAGCGATTAAGACATTAATAAGTATACTCATTTTAGATATCTTTGGTGTATTGTTCAAAGTGATGATGAAATAGATGGGGCAATTATTAGTAGAATACAAGTTGGATTCTTGAACCGACGGAATGCCTCAAGCTTGTTGTGTGGTAGAAAAGTACACTCAATCTTAAGGAAAAATTTTATAAGATGGTGGTGAGACCTACAATGCTTTATGGCACATAATATTTATCATTAAAAGAGAAACATAATATTAAGTTAAGTGTTTCTGAGTTGAGGATGCTTAGGTAGATGAGTGGACTTACTCTTAGAGATAAAATACAAAACGAGCATATTTGAGAAAAGGTTAGAGTAGTTCTAATGACAAATAAGATTAGAGAGAGTTGCCTTAGATGATTTAATCATATAAAACATTGGCCTTCCGATGGCCCTGCTAGGATAGTAGATGTATTAGATTTGGCCTATGTTGAGAAAGGTAGAGGTAGACCTAAAAGACTTGGTTAGAAATTAGAAATGACATTTATTTATTGGATTTAAATGAGAATTTGATTCTTAGTAGGACATAATGGAGAAAAAAGATTCAGGTAGTCGACTCCACATAATGGGATAAATGCTTGATGTTGTTGTTGTAAATAAATTTTTATTTAAATTATATTAATTAATTTAATTTAATGTACATTTAAAATTAGAATAGGAAAAGTTTAATATCCTTTAATCAAACGGAACTTAATATTAAATAAATCAATCACATTAAATTTATTAATAAAATTAAAAAATCATATAAATTATATTTATGTACATTAATCTATTATAATTGAACTAAGATTTATGTTCTTTTAGGCTGATAAGAGCAAGTATAAGGCCTGTTTCTTCTTCGTCTTCATGCGTCATGCTATTTCACGTCGTCATCACTTCCAAGCTCCACCAACCCCTCGCAATGTTCATCTTTCCTCCCTTCCCCCTCTCTCCCTTCTCCCTCCCTCCCCTTCCTTCTCCCAAATCATCCAGTCCCACGCTCATCTGGTCTCCCTCGGCCTCGCCAACAGCCGCGCCGCTATGGCCACCTCCTCGCCGCATGCGCTATTTCCCCTTTTCCACCTTCTTCCTACTTTCACTCCGTATACCGCCAGATAGAGCTTCCCAACGTCTTCGCTGCTAACAACCTCCTCCGATGCCTCGCCAAAGGTGAAAACCCTCATCAAACTCTCACCTTTTACAAAAATATGAGAATCTCGGGCGTGCCCACCAACAAATTCACTTTTCCTATTCTCCTCCATGCGTACACCAGATATCCATCACCCTCGGAAGGTACTCAGGTCCATGCCCATGCGTTAAAGTTTGGTTTTTGTGAAGATTTGTATGTCAGAAACGCTTTGATAAGCTTATACGGCGCTTGCAGATTATTGTACGAATCAAGAAAGGTTTTTGATGAGTTCCCTAATAGCCGAGATGTGGTTTCCTGGAACGCAATGTTAGTTGGGTATGTAAGGAATGAGCAGATTTTTGTTGCGGAATATATGTTTGATCAAATGCCTGAAAGAGATGTGATCTCGTGGAGCACCTTGATCATGGGTTATGTACAAAATGGAGATTTAGAGAAAGGGCTTGTTTTGTTCAGTGAAATGATCAGGAATGGAAGCGTGTCTGTAAATGAGGCTACTTTGGTCACCGTTCTTTCTGGTTCGGCGCAGTTGGGCTTGCTTGAGCATGGAACTTTTGTCCATTCAATTATAAAGAAAGTGAAGTTTCCCCTTACATTGGCGTTAGGGACTGCCCTTGGGGATATGTATGCGAAGTGTGGTTGTATAGATCTCGCCAGATATGTGTTTTATGAATTGCCTAAAAGAGATATATTTGCTTGGAATGCTATGATTTGTGGTGTTGCTACTCATGGGCAAGGGAAGGAAGCCCTTGAACTGTTTCAGAGATCCATTGATGAAGGATTTAATCCCACAGCAGTGACTTTTGTTGGCATCCTGAATGCATGCAGCCGAGCTGGCTTAGTCAATGAAGGTCGACATTTCTTCAACTCAATGGTGAGGGATTATGGCATTGAGCCAGAGATGGAGCATTATGGCTGTATGGTTGATCTATTAGGTCGAGCAGGGCTTGTTCCTGAAGCTCTTGAATTGATTGAAGGTATGAGCATCAAACCGGATTGTGTGTTATGGGCTACTCTTTTAGGAGCTTGCAAAATACATGGATTTATTGAATTAGGAATCATTATTGGGAAGAAACTAATCAAATTAGAACCTGGACATGATGGACACTATGTTCTTTTAGCTGCCTTATATGCCAAGGCAAGGAAATGGGAAGATGTTATTAAGGTTAGGAAGTTGATGTCAAGTCATTGCACAAGTAAAGTAGCAGGTTGGAGCTTAATTGAAGCTAGTGGGAGGCTGCATAAGTTTATTGCGGGTGATTTGGATCACAAAGAGTCTTCTAAGATCTACAAAATGCTTGAAATGATTGGGAAGAAGCTGGTAGAAGCAGGTTACTTATCAAATGTCTCTTCAGTTTTACATGATATTGAGGATGAAGAGAAGATGCATGTAATAAATGTGCATAGTGAAAGGTTGGCAATTGCTTATGGGTTGATGATAATTGACCAGGACTGTCCAATTCGCATTGTTAAGAATCTCAGGGTATGTGTTGATTGCCATGAATTTTGTAAGATGGTGTCAAAGGTGCTGGTTAGGGAGATAATTGTGAGGGATGGCAGTAGATTTCATCATTTTAGGGATGGTTCTTGTTCTTGCCTTGATTATTGGTAGCCAATGTGTGCTTATAAAGATGTTTAAATTTTACAAAATTGTAATATACTTTTAATCGTATATGTTAGAATTTGTGACGTTTGATTGTTTAATCAATGTACATCATTAGTATACAAGGCCGTAGTGTTGCACAATTAAGTGCTGCGTTGTCATGGTCTCAAGTTGGAGACAAAGCGCAGGGCGCCATGGCACTATAGGCTATAACACCAAAACGCTGCTGTAGGGGGATTCAAGGCAGAGAGTGGAGCGCTACAATGCTCTAGACCCCAATGCCGCGGCGCTGCGAGTCGGGCTAACTAGTTTTTCTTCCTCATTCTTCTTATTTCTCTTGAAGGGTTTCATCCTTTAGAATATACTAGTGTCTCTTTGTCTATTCTGAGTATATAACTGCGTGAGAAGAGAGATCTATATGATTTTTTTTATTTTCATAATTAATTTCTTGGTGTGGTGTGGCTACATTGTTTTTTCTCGTTTTCAAGTTTTTCCATGCTTATTCTTGATGTTCTTTTTCTTCTTTTTCTTTTTATTTGTTTCGTTCTGTATTTATTTCCCAACAATATCTAGCATAATTTTCTCAAGTTCAAGCAGGTCAATGCAGGACATGTTTCTTCTTAGAGGTATTAATTCTATTGTTGTGCTTATAGCTTGTTTATATTTGTTTATTTAGATAGTTGAACGAACTTAAACAAAATTTTTAAAGCTTGTTCATTTTATTGGTTGTTATTCTTGATATAATATTCTTTTAATGATAATTATTTTTTGATCATTTATTCAATATTCTTATATCAATTTTTAATATTCTATGCACTTCAAAAATTATTTATATATCAAGTGCGATGAAGTGTCATAGCTTTTTATGAAGTTGTTGCGATAAAAGTAAATTTTTTTGAAAGTTGTTGTAATGAGCAATTCCCTAGCACAAAAGTTTATTGAAATCAATGAATAAATAGTAATAAAACTAAATTATGAGTTGGAATTAAAAAAAATAAAATAATAAAAAAGTTGTCCCAAATTGATTCTTAAAGATACAACCATCTCTTTATGAATTTAAAAATTAATCAATGCTAATTTATTTAATTTCATTCAACTAAATAATATATATAATCTGATTTTATAATTAATCAATTTGCTTAATCACAAACAACAAATAAGCCCCATTTAATATTATTATTTATGAAATAATCTAACATTAAGGTGTTGATGATGTCGAGCTTAAACTGCAATGTAAACATCTATGAGTCCAATATAGATGATCTTTTTTAAGGGAAAAAATTCTCGTATTTTTAAGAATCTATAACTGGTAAGGCGCATTTTCCGTCACCCTCCGCATAGGACTCAATGAGCGGTAGCGAGATAATAATTACAACATTACTCGAACTCCACATGAATGCTAAGCATTTCCGCGTTGCCTTTCTTACCTATCTTCGTCTTCTTCCTCTCCCACTCTTCTGTTTAACTCTAATTTCCTCTAATTGACTTTCAAGCCCTTAAGAAGCTTTTATTGATTGCTCACAGTAATAATTTGCTAATTGGAGCCGAATCGATATGTTAAATTCACAAGGTCATGGAGGGACTACCGGGAAGCAGGAAGAGAAAGACGACGCCACAGAGGAGATGGTGCCCGAGGTTTTCCCTGCGATCCGCTCCCGTTTTCACAACTTCTCATTTCCGACGATGAACTGGGGTTGTCAACGAATTCTCCGTTTTGTGAACTCCACTGAAATGGGCGGCACGGCCGCTCGATCAATAACTCCAGATACTCGGCCCCGACGAGAGAGAAATGCTGCATATTCTCCTGTTAGTTATCTTCCCAAGTCTCCTCAAGCAGGCGGGTTCAAGGAAAAGGAGGCAGAAGGTACAACGACGGGCGGGGTCGAGAAAAAGCTGGTTACGGAGCAAATGAATGCTTCTTCTGTCGCCGCTGAAGGGGCTGCTGTAGCGCCGGCCATTCCATGGAATTTGAGGAAAAGAAAAGCTACTTGTTATGCCCCACAGGAGAAAGGAATAAAAAGTTATCGTTGCTCATCACCACCTAAGCCAACATTTGGAAAGGATGATTCTGCAAAAGCGGTTAAGCGAGGAACGGTGGTTAGTGAAAATGGTCAGCAAAGGAAATATTCTGTTTCCTTATCTCGCGAGGAGATAGAAAAAGACATCTATTACCTGTTCAAGGGGACGAAGCCTAGTGAAAGGCCTAAAAAGAGACCCAAAGCTGTGCAGAAGCAACTCGATGTAAGCAGAAATTTCATATATTTTGAGCCAAACATTTTCCTGCATTTTTTTTTTCTTCATTTTTTCTACTCTTAAGGTAATTTTGATTATATTTGGAAAATTTTAGCTAGTCTCTATTTTTAAATTTCTGCATTTATCATTGCAGGCCCTTCTCCCTGGGTCATTGCTAGCGGAAATTACAAAAGATATGTATAAAACAGTTAAATGAGACGATTCTTTCTTCTTGTTTCCGATATTTCAATCACAAATTTTATATAAAGAAGAATATGATGTGATTCTTCTTCATAGAAGAGGCAAAAGGGGCCAGGTCATGCAACATTTATACAACAGAGGCTTCAGAAGTTCTAAGAAGCTGACTGTCGGTAATTAATGCTTTCATGTAGGTGAATTGGGGGATACCAAGGTTTGAAAATAAAAAATCTTAAATTCTAAAGAAAGTAGAGCTTGTGGATGGAGATGGAGGCCCAAAATAGTGTCCAGAATAAACTTTGACAACACCAAACAATGTGTAGCTTTTTTAAGTTTGAAAATTTTTTTATGGGATCTATATGTTGAACTAGTGTATGAAATTTGTAGAGTTGATAGAGATGAGTGTTTAAGGTTTCATTTGAAATAGCTTTTGACTATTCTTTTTTCACTGTTATTAAGATATTTTTGTACTAGAAAGCTGCTTTAGGAAGAAGTAAGAAATTAAAGCTGTTCCCAACAAAGCCTAAATATGTCTTCGGGTTCATTTTTAAGGATTTTATGTATAGAATAGCAAGGAGATTCAAGATTAAGTCACTCTTTCCTTAATTTGGTTGATTTTGGAAAAGCTGGCATATATTCTAAACTTTTCTAAAAGGGTAGGCTTTGGCCAAGGCATGTTAAATGACATGGTATGGTTATGGATGAGATGGTAAATTTTAAAAACTAAAATCAAGTCCTAACTTTTTGTACTTGGCCTTTTTTTTTATTTGGCTTGCTTCTTTATTTCTCATCACTAATGCAACCATACACAAGTATTCTGTGGTGATGAATCAAGACTATGCTATATGTGTGGATTATATGACTAGTAAGAGAGGATTTTAGAATTTATATCGAAACACTTTCAGTTCAATCACAAACAATGCATGGTGGAATACAAATAACCAATCAAACATGAACATAATAAGTTTATGCAAATTACATTTAGTGATCAAGTTAGAAGTACAACATAAATGATACAATTACTCAACAATATTAGATCACGAACTTGTGAATCAACTAATGCAATCATAGACAAGCATTCTGTGGTGATGAATTAAGAGTAAGGCATATGAGTTAGTGTATGTTTAGTAAGCACAATGATTATGAATCTAGTTAACCAAGCTATTAATGACTAACATATCAACTACCAAATTGCATAAGTGCGTCAACAATATATTTTAGTGATAGAGAAGTTATTATCTTATATATGAAAGAAATGAACTTATAAGCATAATATTTGATATGCTCTAACACATATGCACACGAGCATTGCACATAAAGTTCATCACAAGCATATCCAATCAAGATATGAGTATCAAGACTAACAATAATGGAGTTTACACGGTTGAATGTTTTTACAAGTTCAATTTAGGAGTCTAATGAAATGATGCATTGGTTTTCTGCAACAATTTCTACTAACAAATAAGCTCACAATGATGCATGCATGTCATGTTGCTTTGTTGCATAAAATAGCATTGTCTCATGCTTGGCTTTGACTCAAAATGAACTCTTTGTTAAGATTTTTCTATATGTTTTAACATTTACACAAGAGTATTTTTGAAAATTTTATCATATAGTTCTTTTTTTTTTTTTGAAAGAATGTGATGATCAATGAAATAAAGAAAATATTGATCAATTTATACACTTAAAATTTAATTGTAAGTTTTCAAGGGATCTTATAGCTATTCTCTTCTTAGAGCATACATAATTGATGAATGCTTACATTTATATAGCAAATTTAAATTTTTATATATGACCAATGGGTTTGCTGACCTCCAACTACTTCACCTAAATACCTACCAAAAAATTGTTGTACCAACCCCAAAAAAATTGCTATTCTCTTGTTGTAATAGGCTGCAAAAAGCTGATGTTATCCTGCTCATATCATGTTGTACCAGCCCCTAAAAAGCTATAATTATTATGCTCTAATCCAACTATATCAGCTTGAAAATCTATTGTTATCCTACTATAGTTGCCTCTACAACATGTTGGTGGGAATAGAAAAAAAGAGGGAACATAATTTAAGCTAATATATCTCACCTTCCTAAGGAATAACAAAGCACACCCACTATCGCTATTGAAGCAAAGATTGCCTCCCTGTTTCCACTTCTTCTCCCAACAAACTCCACTAGCCCATATCAACCACACACTCCTCCCTAAGCTACTGCCAGCAACCTCTCAAGCCATGCCACCAATAACCCATTTCCTTTTCTTCATAATTAGCCAAAATCCAACAACCTTGCAACTCTCCACTACAACCATTCATATCTATAGCCCCCAGTAGCTCCCTTCCTCCCTTCTTATAACTTACAGTTCTTCATCCATCTTCATCCCACTACAAACAATCACATACATCCAACTTCTCTCATCCTGTCACCTCATGCTAATACCACCTCCAACCACACAAACCCAACAAGTTTCTTCCTCCCTATTCCAATACCTAAACAACCTAGCAATTATAAATTCATAACCAACCCATAAAACCAACCATTCAGCCTCCTCTTCTACCTCCGACAACACCTATTACTGCAACCACATACAATTCCATCCCCACTACACCCCTTCTCATATCCACCTCTAATTTCGCTTGCTCAAAGCAGTAGCCAAATGGCCCTCTTCTTTTCCAAAACTCTTACACCAGCTCCTTTCTCAAATATTTAAGAATGAATCTCATATACACTCCAAGGGCTAAAGCTAACATTCCACCAGCTCTTCCTCCTCTCCCAAACTAGCAGTCCATCACTTCCTATTGCAGTTTCTAGAAAAAACCATCTCCAGCCCTCTCCAATAGCAAGCCCATCTCCTATACAGCCTATTATAAACCAATAAAACCTTAATTGGTATTGTCTACTATGCTCCAATCTTCCTCAACAACTATTCTTGACTTCATTCCTCTATTTCCAAACCAGCAAAAACAAACCACCCATTCCCTTCACTCATCAAATATACAAATCCAACACAAAATGGCCCACTACCAGCAAACTCCACCTACCAAGAAACCATCTATAATTGTAGCAGTCCAATCAACCATCTTATGTCACTAATCTTCTCCCATTTCCTCTAATCAAATAACCTATTACTCCCTCTATTGTTAATGTTTTTATTACTAGTAGTGGAAGTTTAAAAAATCAGAAAAGCAGAGAGAGAGAGAGAGAGAGAGAGAGAGAGAGAGAGAGGTGAGAAAAGGGAAACAAAAGAATGAGATAAAAGAAAGATAAAAAGGAATGAAAAAGAGAGATTGTGTGTTTGGTCCCCAGTAGATTTCCTCATCATCGTCGTTGTCGCCTCACTCATGATGGTATATATGTTCTATCAATATAAAAAAACCCTTAAATCATGTTTTCGGCACTCGTGGCACACCAAGGGACCACCCATACATGTTATTCGTATCATGGTGGGAGGGAGGGAGGGCCCTATACAGCTCTTCATATCGTGATGGGGATAACCTTATGTACCCATATATGTGACATAATGCTTGTATGGAAAAACTATATTTTAAAATAGGTACATTGAAGACCCATTCATGCTCTTTGTAGTGTTGTGGGATTGAAGAAAACCACAACCGCATTGTCACCTGTCACCTACCATACACGCTCTTCATAGCATAGTGTGAAGGCACAACTCTCTAAATTTTTCTTAAATGAGGGAGACACTGGGAGACTGCTAAATTTTCTAGTGAATATAGGACCTAGCTTAAGCAAAATGATAGGGGGCAGAACTTGCAACTTGACTACAGGGAACCTTGCTTAAGAGAACTTAACTTGTAAGTAAAATGATAATGAATAGAACTTAAATCACTAAACATGGAATCATACTTAATGAAATTGTAATCTGAAAAAAAAAGTTAATAAAAAATATGAACAAGCAATGTTTGTGGCGGAAAAAAATTTGTTACATCTCGTCCACCAGCAACAAGTTTTTAAAATGGGTAGAGATAATTGCAATGAAACATACAATCAAAAAAGACATGTAATTAATGTAATAACTCAATAACAATTTATCTTCAAGCAAACATGTTAATTTTCCACAAGCAGAAAGGATATCAATATCATATAAAGCTAGAGCATGGGAGACATATAAGTACATATTAACCTCCTACAACCGTTGCTAAGTAAATACATAAACTATATGCAAGAAAAGAGGTTGGCAAGTGATTAGCCAAAGATGTACCCCATGAGTTTGAAGTAAATACAATTTATAGGCAATTAGTGTCCCATGATTACAAAGAAATATGGCAACCCGCTTGAAAGCAATTGCAAGAAATAACGACATGGAAATTTATCGATTATCATGCACGAAGAATGCATCATGACTATAAATGAAGGGAATAAGGTTATGACAAAAAATAACTCACTTAAATCAATAGTCTTTAGCTGACAGAAAAGTTCACTAATTCGCATGTCATCAATGATAATAGATAGGCTATGAATCTTATAGTATCCCTACGATTGGTTCCAGCTAGCTTGCAAATACATGTAGCAGTTATCACGAACATTGAAATATGCACAAATGAATGTAGCAACTTTCCAATCAACATGCGTAGAGAAATCAGTGATGAATGAAACCCATCTGACAACTCACATGAACATGCAATGAATGCTACAACACCCCTCTAATCAATGCTAGCTAGCTTGCAAATGCATGCAAAAGCCTCTTATGAATATGATGCCAGTATGCAATGAATGTAGCATCTTGCCAGTCGACATTTTTTTTAGGAGAACCCAAAGGGGCCTACACATTAATTAAGAAAGGAAATTATAAGGTCATTAAAAAGAACCTTTAACTCGCTACTGCTCAAAAGAGCTAATAAAAAATTCAAAATAAAACCTGTGAGCCGATGGTTCTGTATTCTACAGAATACAAAAAACCCTAATAACATTCTAGGCTTGCTAGAAATAGGGCTAAAAAAAGGAAGCAAAAGAAAGTACACTCGACATCGTCTTCCTGCAAAAAACCAACAAAACTCCAAAATCTTGATCCTTTTAACCTGCATGAAAGTCAAACTATAAAACATACAAAAATATGGCAAGTAATATGCAGGATTATGAATAATCAAATATAAACAATTAAGGTTCTAGATTTTTAAAAAACCAAAGAAGATACTTCTTGAAACTGAACTGGACATCCATCGGAGTTCATGCAACTAGAAACCAAAATGTCACCATGCCACTTCAACTTACTATTGCAACCATCCAAAATTTGGTTAAGATGAGGAAAATTAAAGCCACTATAGAAAATTGGGCAGTGATAACAGCAATAGGGACCCAAAAAATAGAGCAAAGAGCTTCCAGATTGCAACCACAATGGATACCTGTTAAAATAATCAGAATAACATAGTTAATAGCACTAGTAATGGGGGACAGGTAAGCCAAAAAATGGAAGTCCATAGTAGCAGCATCAGTAAATTATAACCTCATCCTCCCAGACATAGAAAAATCTTATAAATCAAAAGCCAACAATAGCCCAGGTAGAC